AAAACTATTATGAATCCATTCCCTTGTTTTATTCTTGTAGATCATTTTACTGTGCCTGGCAACTTTAAAAAAATGGCTTTGCTCCTGTATTTGTACTTAAATAGAACAAATACGTATATTTACAAAGGACTTGCAGAGATAATACAGAGAGATCCTGTGTATCAACGGTCCTCAACCTGGGGGGATTTCATCCCTCCACTGTGCCCCAGGATGTTTCCAAGTGTCTGAGGTAGTTTGCCTTTCACAACTGGATACGCTACTGTCCTCGAACGTGTAGAGGCCGAGGATGTGCTGTACATCCTCTGGAAGAATACACAGCCTCCCGCAAGCAAGACTTATCCAGCCTACAATGTTCATAGTCCCGAGTTGGAGAAACTCTGCTCCAGACTCTTCACTCATTTCCCTAATGTTATTATATTGAATAACCATGATAGACATAGCAAAGTTAAGAAACTATTGGTTCAATTCTAGTGAGCTATGGAATTTTTCAGACCCACTTCCCTTTTTGACTAATGTCCTTCTTCTGTCCCAGAATCTATGTCTCTGTAGTGATCACTCTAGTGATGCAGACAGTTTTTATATCTTCCTTTGGTTTTCATGACCTTGGCCTGCCTTGGCTTTCAGGACCTTGATACTTTGGAGGAGATTTATAAATGTCTTACTGGGCAGGGTACTGACAACATATCCAGGTGGATATGGAAATGTGTGTTTTGGGGTTACACTGATTCCTGGAAAGTGTCGTGGCATTTAGAGTGCAGAGTGGAGAGATAATCAACGTGGTGTCAAGTTCAGGACAGTCCCAGGTAATAAGGAATTCCCTACTCAAAATGTCACTAGAACCTTCATTACACACTAAAGATGTCAAGCGCAGTCTAGCAACTCATGTAGAATGAAATGCCTTGTCTCAAGTCTAACAAATGGCAGGTAGTAAACTTCAGAATACAAGCTTGATTTTTAGAGGTTCGGCCCAGGACTTTATGTAAATGTCAGCATTGAAAACATTGAGTTTAGTATATTCAACAATTTTAATCTTCTAGAAATCTTTATAATTAGGTAGACAAAGTATTTTCAGTCTCTTTGCTAAGGTGCTACATTGAAGTGTGATTGCCACCAATGGAAACCCTGAATACAGAACTTGAATTTGTAGTAAGGGTAGTGTAGATTCATGGTGATGGGGACAGAGGAAAGCACTTGGGGCTACAGTCGTATTGGTGGAATTGTGTGCATCCATCCTTCCTTATTTTTCTTTATAGCACCTCTCCTATAGCCCTTCTCCACACACTATAGTGTGTACATTTATTTATTTGTTTCTCTTCTGTCTCCACTCCTTGAGAAAGCAAGCTCCATAGGAGAATGGACTTTGCCTTGTTTACAGTGTATTCTCTCACTCTTTGAAGGGGGAGTGCCATGAAATTCATGTTTGAACAGTAATTAAAGAGGCTTTAGATGGAAAGAACAATACAGGCAAAGTATCCAGGTAACCTAACCTCATACCCGCTTTCTGGCCTCCCCTATTATTCCAGCAATATTCCTTTGCATTTGTTTCAATTATATCACTGTCATGTGCTATACTTAATATCCCACTCCCCATCTTTTTCATTCACCAGTGTAGTTCTGCCGTGTAACATGTCATACAAAATATGTAGCTCTAGTTCAGTGATTTCCAACTGGGTGTGGTTTTTGTCCCTCGGGGGATATTTGGCAATGCCTGAAGATGATTTTGATGGTCACCACGGAGGCGGGCCTATTGATCTGTGGGTGATCGAGGTCGGGTGTGCTGCTCAACACCCTGCCGTGCACAAAATTATGTGGCCCAGTACCCCAGGAGTGGAGAATGCTTAGGCTATTTCTTTCCTTCAGTTTGTGGAACAGTATTCCCTTGATGGCACATAGCACATTTACTTTATCCATCCCCTGCTGGTGGGCATTTAGGTTGACCAGCTGTCTGCTCTGACAAAGAGTGCTGGGAATAATGTCCTCACCGATCTGTGTGTGTGTGTGTGTGTGTGTGTGTGTGTGTTGTAAGACAGTTTCTGGTAGCCACACTGTGCTCCAGGAGACACACTCATGTGCCACCGCAGACTGGCTGGACCCGTTCACACCCAGAGCACTGCCTCCAGTGCCAATTCCCTGCATCTTTCCCAGCATCTCGTATTATTTAGCATTTTCATTTTTGCCAACCTGAAGCACTTAAATGAGTAGCTTCTTTTTAAAAAATTTGCATTTTCGGATGACTAACAGGCCCAGCTATTTGAATCATTACGACACAGCATTCTACAAAGTCGGGGACATGGTTTTGCCAAGCATGTACCACTTCAGTCTGTTCATCTCGGTCTTTGCTGTGTTTTAAGGGACGAGAGAGAAAAAAACCTTCCATGCTGTTCTGTTATCTTGCTCTTTGCTGTGTTTTAAAATAGCACATATTGGGAGACCCAACTTGGCTGTTTCTGCCAGTAGAGGTCACTGTCCCTCAGACATTTGTTGTCTTTGAGTGCTTCTCCTGCCGCAGCCCCTACCCCCCGGCCCAGAATGTTTGGTAATGACTGGAGACAGTGTTTTATTTTCACGGTGTGTGCGCGCGCGTGTGTGCGCTGCTGGCCCCTAGGAGACAGAGGCCAGAAATTCTGCTGAAACCCTACAGCGCAGAGGACAGCAGCACCCAACAGACAACAAAGACTTATCGGGGCCCAGATGTTACAGGGCCAAGGTGAATTCAGTGTAGCAGCAATCCTAACATGCGTACCTCTGAAAGAAAGACCATGACATTCTCTGTGACCATACACTTGTCTTCACTACACAAACGGGAAGCAGGGGAGAAGCCCGCCTTCCTGATCAGTGTGCGTCCAGGGTACGGGTGGGAGGGCTGGGTGGGTGCGAGGAGGGCAGAGGTTTGGGAGAAGGAGAGCTGCTTCAGTGTGGGCTCTGCAGGGTCAGGAGGGTCAGTCCGGGGGCTTGGCGGAGCTGCCAGCCGTGGGGGACAGGGCTGACTGGGGGCGTCCGTGACTCACGTGGGGGTAGGACAGGGGTCTACAGGGTAGAAGAACGGCGGGTCTGAGTCTCAGGGCAGGGCGGTGGCCGGGCTCTGACTTAGGGACAAGGGGGACATCAGGCCGCAGGAGGCCCAGGCCCTGGGGAGTACTGATCTGCTCGGCAGCCAAGGCTGTGTCGCTGTGTCCTTGCGGCAGGTCAGGCCCGCGTCTGTGTCCTCTCGGGCACTGCTGCACCAGGAGCAGAGGCCTTTCCTCGGAGGCTCAGGCCTGGGCACAAAGGAAGGGACCCTCTGTCTCTCCGTACAGCCCTGGGGGAGGATGGCCTGCCCTCCCGGGCTCTGCCCCCTTCTCTTGGCCTGTGGAGCGTCTAAGCAAAGAGGTGGGTGGATCCTCTTTTTCCTTTCTTGCATCGGCCAGGGGCCCTCAGTGGGGCCTCCTTGGCCCTGGGCACCGGGGGCCCCTGGAGAGGCAGGCACCTGTAGAATCCTCCTCTGCGCTCTGCAGGAGCGAGCTCAATGGTCACCAGGCTCCAGGTGCGCGCGGGGTCTGGGCATTCCACAGCCACTTCATCACACTCTTGGGATTGTTAGAAAAATCCAACCCCACGAAGATCTGGAAGGATGGCTTGCGGTGAAAGCTTCTTCTGGCCTTGGGGACCATCACCCTCCGGCCTCTGGCATGGTCCCAGTGGGGTGGCAGGGTGGGGGCGGGCCAGCTCCAGACCCAGGAGAGGACTTGGCTCTGATCCTGGCCAGGTGGCAGCAGCAGATGGACCGGGCCCGGCGTGGCAGTGTGGCCATGGCTGTGTCCAGGTGGCTGCCCAGGTAGCTGCCCATGATCGCAGTGCGGTCAGGTCTCAGTGAGGTCAGGGCCTCTCAGGCTTCTGGAGGTTCCCGAATTCTGGAGACGTGAAGCACGCAGGGCTAGGGGGACCATTGGCATCTGGGCACAAGGAAAGCCCATGGGGTCACATGTGGGGCCCCCCTGGGCAACGGGGTCCTGCTTGTGCGGGGTCAGTGCCCCGTGGATGTGGTGACTGAACCTGGCGCCCCCTGCTGCTGAGGATGGGGTTGGGGGTGGGGGAACCTCCAGCCTTCCAGTGCCAGTTCCAGGGTTTGGAGCATTCAACACCTAAATGCTCTTTTAAGGAAAAAGAAGTCAATTTATTAGTAAAGGAGATACGTTTTTCATTCTTCTAGAATAGTACCTAATGTCAGTCACCTCTGCAATCTGAAAATGGTGAAAGCCGTTCAGGATTTATGTTTTAGCACCGGCAGTGCTTATTTATGTGGACTCTCCTATAATTTTCAACTTTTATGTCATTCGTACACTCCTACATAGATCGTCTCCATTCAGAACACTTAAGTCATTTCTTCCGTGTCATTTCTACTGGTAATCTATGTATACAGAGTAGAGTGAGGCACATTTTCAATTTACAGCTGGAAAGCAGGTAAAACTGCAGAAACAGTGTTCAAAGGCTGCCAGTAAATTGACTCTAGCACTTCAGTTTGGAGGTCTTTTATTGAATCAGCTCCAGTACTGGAGTGGTAGAGGGAGGGAAATGTGGTCAACAGAGCAAGCAAGTATTGCATGAAGAGTGAGTCCTGAGACATAGATGGCTGAATGAGGAGGACACTTAAAAGAGCTTGATGAGGAAGGAAGTACAAAAGGCTTCTGTGGTTCAGAAAGAAGCCCAGTGTTGGTGAAGGGCTGGGGGCTCTCAACTCATGGGTGATGGAGAATAAGATCCTCAACACTCTACTGTGTAATGTTTCTTATTTTTTCATTTCGGTAGAACCTTATTTAAGGGATGATACCTAAATGTATGATTTTCAAACAAAGGAAATTTTCTATTCTAGTTTTTTCTTTATAAGATAATTCTTCATAATGGTAGACATGACTTCATTCATAGCTAAGACACATTTTAAGATGGTTAGAACACCAGAGTGAATGTTCTGATGGAGTTAGATATTATTTGCTTATAATGTATTTTCCCCCCATCATCTGCAGAATTTCACACGTCCTAGTTTGCAATGTAACCCAGCGAGTGTCCTTCTGGTTTGTGGTTACAGATCCTTCGAAAAATCACACCCTTCCTGCTGTTGAGGTACAGTCAGCCATAAGGTAATCACCGCTAAATCAACTTGTTGATTAGTTTGCTGCTTTTATAGATTTTGAAGAATTCCGTCTCTCCTTACAATGACTTCCATATTAATATGTCAAAGATTTAATTTCGTTAGTTTGTGTTAGCGATCCGTTTGGACCAGTGGTTCTCATCCAGGGACAATTTTGCTTCCAAGGAGACATTTGGAAATGCCTGGAGACATTTTTGTTGTCATAGTTGAGGCAGGGGGTGTGTTGGGGGGTACCTACCAGCATTGAGTAGACAGGAGTTGGGGTGCTGCTAAACATACTGTTATGCACAGGACAGCGCCTCAGAACAAAGAATTGTTCAACCCCAGATGTCAGTCATGCTGTGGCTGAGAAACCCTGGTTTAAATTTTAGCCATGAATGTTAAGTACTGTCTTCTTTTGTTAAGAACACCGTGTACGGCACTATTTGATGGGGCATCACATGGATCCTGGAGCCCAAATCCTTAGGTTTTTAATTTTGGTTTTACCTCATGCTAACTGTTTAAATACAGATTACTTCCCCTTTTTGTTTTTCTCTTATAATCTATAATATGGGAATAATTATGGTACCTCTCAGAGTTGTTGAGATTAAATGAACTGATAAATGTAACGTGTTTTGAAGGACCAGACATACCTTTGACTTTTCTTTTAAAACCAAGACAAATAGTCTCATTTCTTGGGTCTCTATGGACTTACCTTCCTTAATTAATGTACAGCCTTTCCCTTTAAAAGATACTTTAAAAAAAAAAAACAAACAAGGTAAAACCATGACTCTCATACAAATTAAAAATAAATGCCATTAAAGATTTTATAGTCTCATTAATTAATGAGGGAACTAGGAAAATGTTAAAACCAGTTCAAAGGAGACTTCAAGAAACCATGCATATATAGGAATCAGAATAGTAATCAATCATATTCCACCAGACACTTGACTTTCTTTGGACAAACATCATTTACATTATGTTAGTTTCCTGCTAGTGACAGATTTGCAAGATAACTCAGAGACGGGCACGTGGGTGGCTCAGTTGGTTACATGTCCAACACTTGGTTTCAGCTCAGGTCATGATCTTGTGGTTCTGGGAGTTTGAGCCTTGCTTGCAGCGGGCTCCACACTGACGGTGTGGAGCCTGTTTGGGATTGTCTGTTTCCCTCTCTCTCTGCCTCTCTCTCAAAATAAATTAAAAAAAAGGTAAAAAAATAACCCAAAGACAAACAAAAGGTGTCAGTCGTCCAGCAAGGTGTATTCACCAGACCCTCAGTAATATTTTTTTACCCAGTTTTAAGTTTTACAGTTTTTCCTGAGAGTTTGTCTCCTCCTCTCCTTGTGGTCATAACAAACTTTCAAAACTGGAATGTATTCTTGACTTCAAAGAAGAGGAAGGATGCAGTTTGTTTTTACTTCACCTACTGTGTATTTTATGCATGTCAGAACTTTCCATCCCTCAAATGATTAATGTTGGCCAAAGGTGTATTGGAAGAATGAGTTCAGGAAACAAACTCTTTCTCGAAAAAGAGTGAAACAAAGTAGCGCTCCTCAACAAAGGATTTACAAGTTACTGGAATATGCCTTAAGCTCTTCACCAAGGAGAAATATCTAGTGAAAGAATTTATTTGTTCTCTGTAAAATATTAACGCAGAAGATAATGAGTATATAATCAAATACCAAAGGTTTTTGTGTGAACAGTCATCCACTTGCCTTGCTCAAGCGAAGACATGGAGGATCTGTACCAGCGGGAAGTGATTGAATCTGCTTTAGCAGGAAGGTTTGACCTCTATTGTTTCTGCACACCTGCCCCTAAAACGTAGTGTTAAGACCCAGCCCTTAGGGAATGAGAAATAGGAACAGTGTATTTCACATGAAAAGGAATTTTATTCAAGCCCTCCCTGTGACCCGCGAGGGCCGTGAGCAAAAGTAAGGTACTGTGGTTAAAGCAGGCCTCCGTGACCCCGAGGGAGAAGAGTGAGTGTTTGGGGTGAAGGTGGGGGATATAGGTGATTATGTTCACAACAAAATGTCTCTGTCAAAGGTCCTAGCAGGAGAAGCTATTTAGGGGGTGAGGATGGCCAATAGAATGAGAATTTGTGTCAGGGAACGCGTAGGTCTCACCAGGATTGTATGAAAATAAAGAGAACAATACCAAGAAAGAAAGGTAGCAGGAAAAGCAAGGAGATGGTAGCTATAGGCGGGTGACTATACCTTAGTTGTGGGGTTTATTATTTTTTTTAATGTTTCATTTATTTCTGAGAGAGAGAGAGAGAGAGACAGCGTGATCAGGGGACGGTCAGAGAGAGAGGGAGATATAGAATCCAAAGCAGGCTCCAGGCTCTGCGCTAACTGGCAGCACAGAGCCCAACGCGGGGCTCGAACCCACACACCGTGAAATCATGACCTGAGCCGGAGTCGGACGCTCAACTGACTGAGCCACCCAGGTGCCCCTGGGGTTCATTATTAATGTGGAGAGGTTTGCGTTCCCAGATTACCAATAATATGTTGTGGAAAAAGGAAACTTTCCATAGTTTGATAAAAGAAAACTACACTGGAATTATCCCCTGCTGTAGATTTTCTGGCTGGGATTCTTTTTCACACTCATGAATAATAATGCCTCAACATAGGTTTATATTTGCTAAAGGAGGTCTTTCCTAATAGCTTGATGCCAGTCTGCAGAGATTCTCAAGCCATTACTGTCAGGTTCAAGACTTAAGCTGTCCAGAATGGTAGTCACCCACCAAATGTGGCTATTGAGCAGCTGAAATGTAGCTAGTCCAAGATTAGATATGCCCTAAGTATAAAGTGCACATCAGATTTCAAAGATTGAGTACAAAATAAAATGTGAACCAACTCAATTTTGATTACAGGTTGAAATTATATTTTTCTGGGTATATTGGCCAAAAATTTATTAAAATAATTTCAGGGTGCCTGACTGGCTCGGTCAATTGAGCATGTGACTCTTGATATCGGGATCATGAGTTCAAGCCCCATATTGGTTGTGGAGCCTATTTAAAATTCAAAAAAAATAATTTCTCCAGTTTCTTTATACTTTTCTTAAATTAAAAAAATTTTTATGCTTAATAATAAAATTCTTTTTCTGTAGCAACTTTTTTTAAAAAATAATTTATTGTCAAGTTGGTTTCCATATAACACCCACTGATCATCCCCACAAGTGCCCTCTTCCATGCCCATTATACATTTATTTATTTTTGAGAGACAGAGAGAGACAGAGCACAAGTAGGGCAGAGAGAAAGGGAGACACAGAATCTGAAACAGGCTCCAGGTTCTGAGCTGTCAGCACAGAGCCTGATCCAGGGCTGGAACCCATGAACCGTGAGATCATGACCTGAGCCGAAGTCGGACACTTAACCAACCAACGCTTTACCACCCAGGTGCCCCTACTTTTTCTTAATTCGCACCTCCTAGAGAATTTTAAGTCACACACAAGGCTAACATTATATTTGTATTTTCCACTGTTGCTCTAGAGGTAGGTGAAGTCAGCTTGTCTAGTGTGAATTCAGTAAAGGCCATACAGTATCTCTAAGAAATCTCACCTAGTTTGCAAATTCCAGTTAGAAATTCACTTATTTCGGGGCGCCTGGGTGGCTTAGTCGGTTAAGCGTCCGACTTTAGCTTAGGTCATGATCTCGCAGTTCGTGGGTTCGAGCCCCACGTCGGGCTCTGTGCTGACTGCCAGCTCAGAGCCTGGAGCCTGTTTCAGTCTGTGACTCCCTCTCTCTCTGACCCTCCCCTGCTCACGCTGTCTCTCTGTCTCTCCTAGAAATAAATAAAAAACATTAAAAAATTAAAAAAAAAAAAAGAAATTCACTTATTTGGTTTCATTCAAAGTCTTTGCTAACAACCCCTCTCTAACTGCTGCCACCGCCAAAAATGCAGATTTTCCCCAGGAAGAGTAACTCATTTACCGTGATAATTTTCTAGATTTCTGGACTCCTTAAGCACCAGTAACTTGAGTCATATGGAACCACTTGCAGTTTCCTGAACAAATCTACTGTACCATGTCTCCATTCCTGTACTCACCACACACTTCAGGAAATCAAACATGGTGGGCAGAGCTTGAAGCTCGGACTTCCTGGTACTTCTAGGACATTCACAACTGTGGAGGGCAGTAGACGAGCCTTCCTGTAGCAGCCAGCACTGTTACGAAGAGTACCATAGCATGATTGCCCTCATCAAACTGTCTAGTCAACCTCAAGTCTCTTGCTACAAGGATGTTCTGTTTCTAGAGATAATTATAAATATGGAGAGATGGGTCTGGACCTTCTGTTTCTAATTGTTTTCCTCTCTTGTTTCTTTTTGATCATCGTTGTATCCTAGAATGAATAGAAACCGGATCAACAGTGCCTTCTTTTTGAATGACCAGACTCTGGAATTTTTAAAAATTCCTTCCACTCTTGCACCACCCAGCGACCCATCTGTGCCCATCTGGATTATTATATTTGGTGTGATCTTTTGCATTGTCATAGTTGCAGTCATGCTGTTGATTTTATCAGGAATCCGGCAACGTAGAAGGTAAGATACTAAAAGGGAGTGATTTAAAGAGCATTTTCCTATTTCCTCATGGATTGGGAAAATAAGGAGAGCATCTTCCCCAAGCTGAAGGTAATGTCTTAAATCTGAAACTTTGAAAATATTGGTGATTCACAAAATGTCACTTATGCTCTTATGTTTAGAGACTTTTTGGAGTCCAGTGTTCCTTACTATCACTCCTTCATTATTATCTTTTTCTTTGTTCTACACCATATGAATATTTCATATCAAGAATTGATTTTAATATCTGTGTTATGATTCTGTAAGGTGGATATACAAAGCTAAGCAGATTTCTCTGGTAGGCAGGTTAATCTTTAATAGTCCTCTATCTCCAAATGCTAGCAGTTCCACAGTTCTTTCCATGCATTCCCAGCTTGGCTTGCCTTTTCTTGCCTCATGCCTGCAGCTGCCATCTTGTTCCAGATACTTTTGCGCTTTTATACTTCCCTCCCTTCAACAATCGCCTGTCCCCCTAGTGCCTATGGTATTATATGGAACCATGGCCCTAGAAGTGACCTTTGAATCAACACCTTGCATCAGAATCACCTGAAACACTTGTTTAAAGTATAGGTTCCTTTGCCCTACTGCAGACCTTCTAAATTATAATCCGTGAAGGGGGTGTATTTTAATGAATATCCAGGTTATTCTAATTCAATTAGTTTGAGAGTTTCCAACTTAACTACTTTATAGAGATTCCTACTCCCCGAGTTCATTTATCTGGATTCTGGGGTACATGCAAACTTTGCTGTCTAAATGATTGCGATTACTTCAAGGCGGAATTGCAGGCAAGTGAGAGAGTTAATAAGGTAGGGGGATAGGAGGAGAAGAGATAGGATTTCTCAGTGTGATGAAAGGAGAAAATAATTTTATATACAAGTACTTCTGATCCAGAGAGAGTCCTTACTCTTCATTACACCATTTGATCTTCTAACACCTTCTCTTGTGATACCAAGGAAGAGGAATTCGGGTAAGTGGGAATCACAGGGACATGGCGTTGGCTTTCAAAAGGGTTGACGCTCACCCAGACACGTGGGATGAGTTTGGCCAAGTGTGTGTTCAACTAAATGTTTCTCTGGAGGTTTATTCCTTTCCATATGTCTCACTCTAGTTACTGGCGGAAGGGAATCATTTTTAACTGTTGGTCTTTGTAAATTTTTTTCACAAATGATAAGTGAAGCGCTCTGGAATAAAGGAGATTTGTGCCTAGTCTCCAAACTAAACTCAGAGATTAAGATCAAGTTGTGCTTGCTTGACTTTCTTCATCTTGGCATGACGTGTAACACAGAGAGTCTTGGGACAAGTTGTTAATTTGTTTGGTTTTGAGTTTTTTTTCAAATTTTAAGAAAGATTCTCTTGCAGTGTTTGAATACTTATGCTTAAGGTTTTTAGGGCGCCTGGGTGGCTCAGTCAGTTAAGCAGCTGACATCAGCTCAGGTCATGATCTCACGGTTTGTGAGTTTGAGCCCCACATCAGGCTCTGTGCTGGTAGCTCAGAGTCTGGAGCCTGCTCCTGATTCTGTGTCTCCTCTCTCTCTGCCCCTCCCCTGCTCACTCTCTGTCTCGCTCTCTCTCAAAAATAAATAAACATTAAAGCATAAATTAATAAAAAAGTATTTTTAACTTTTGTATCAATCCTAGAATGCTGTGACCCTCTGGTTTCTATGGATCATAACTTCTGGGAATGCACTTCATCTCCTTGGTTCCCAGTTTTCTCACTAGCACAATATAGTGTAGGGGTTAGAAGCATGGACTCTGAGACTGCTAGGATTCAAAGTATTTTATCTCCTAGATTCTGCTCTTGTATATAATCCATGAACTCTTTGCATATCAGGAAGTACGGGCAATGAGTCAGGGAAACCAGGCTCAGGAGAATATGGTTTGTGGTGCTAGAGTCGAGTTGGTTAAATCTGTCTTTGTTGCCTGTGCATAGATAACTCTTCTAGAGTGACAGCGAGGTATACTGAAAATGGCGAACGTGGTGGGGTCAAAAGAGTTAACGCAGTGGTGTGCTTAGAGTGGTGCCTGGCCCCTGGTGAGCACTCAATAAGTGTTAGCTCTTACTGTTATTTTATTATCCTGCCATTTGCCGGGCTTCCAGCTTGTGCTATCTCTTTCCTGCTGAGCGGATTCTGCGGTAATATAATCACTGGGTGTGTAGCATCATAATCTGTTGCCTGGGAGAAGTGAGGCTGTTGTCACAACCCTGCCTTTGCAAATTCAGTTCATGTTCGAACTAGGAAAACAGATAGACAAATCTCTTGCGTAAACCTGGAGAGCATCACTAAGTGGCAAATATAGTCAGGACAGTTACGACAACCTTCTGAAGATAAATTGATTTGTTGTGTTTTAAGCTTGATACAGTCTATGGTGGGCTTCTCTTGGGCAAAGTATTGCTTTAAATGTGTGGAGGGGGTGCAGTCTGAAGTGGGGAGAGCCCCGATGATTGTGATGAGAGCCCTTCCTAATCATGGGAGAAGCAGGAGTTGCCCCCAATGCCTTCAGTCCTAGGAAGACAAAGATTTGTCCAGTAATCCAATCCATACATTGGATATTAGTGAACATGGTTTGTGTGATACAAAGCCTTAAACTTAGAAGGACAGACTGCAGGGTCATCTAAGTTACCATTTTGCTTCTGTGGAGAAGAGTGCCGCTGCCATCTAAGACATATGCACACTTAACCTTACCCTTTTGTTTTTAATTTTTTAATTTTTGTAATAGTTTATTGTCAAGTTGGTTTCCATATAACACCCAGTGCTCATCCCCACAAGTGCCCTCCTCCATGCCCATCTCCTCCCTTCCCCTCCCCCCACCCCCATCAGCCCTCAGTTTGTTCTCAGCATTCAAGAGTCTCTCATGGTTTGCCTCCCCCGCCTCCCCAACTATTTTTCCCCTTCTTCTCCCCCACGGTTCTCCGTTAAGTTCCTCCTAATCCTCCTATACGTGCAAACATATGGTATCTGTCCTTCTCTGCCTGACTTATTTCGCTCAGCATAACACCCTCGAGTTCCATCCACGTTGCTACACATGGCCAGAGTTCATTCTTTCTCATTGCCATGTAGTATTCCATTGTATACATATACCACATCTTCTTGATCCATTCGTCCGTTGATGGACACTTGGGCTCTTTCCATGGTTTGGCTATTGTTGAGAGTGCTGCTATGAACATTGGGGTCCATGTTCCCCTATGCATCAGCACTCCTGTATCCCTTGGGTAAATTCCTAGCAGTGCTCTTGCTGAGTCATAGGGGAGTTCTATTGTGAACTTTTTGAGGAACCTCCACACTGTTTTCCAGAGGGGCTGCACCAGTTTACATTCCCACCAACAGTGTAGGAGGGTGTCCGTTTCTCCACATCCTCGCCAGCATCTAGAGTTCTCTGATTTGCTCATTTTAGCTACTCTGACTGGCGTGAGGTGGTATCTCAGTGTGGTTTTGATTTGTATTTCCCTGATGAGGAGGGATGCTGAGCATCGTTTCATGTGTCTGTTGGCCATCTGGATGTCCTCTTTGGAGAAGTGTCTGTTCATATCTTCTGCCCATTTCTTTACTGGGTTGTTTGTTTTTCATATGTGGAGTTCGGTGAGTTCCTTATAGATTTTGGATACTAGCCCTTTATCTGATATGTCATTTGCAACTATCTTTTCCCATTCCATCGGTTGCCTATTAGTTTTATGGATTGTTTCCTTTGCCGTGCAGAAGCTTTTAATCTTGGTGAGGTCCCACTAGTTCATTTTTGCTCTTGATTTTCTTGCCTTTGGGGATGTGTCCAGTAAGAAATTGCTGCGGTGGACGTCAAGGAGGTTGTTTCCTGCTTTCTCCTCTAGGGTTTTGATGGTGTCCTATCTCACGTTCAGGTCCTTTATCCATTTTGAGTTTATTTTTGTGTATGGTGTGAGAAAATGATCTAGTTTCATTCTTCTGCATGTTGCTATCCAGTTCTCCCAGCACCATCTGGTAAAGAGGCTGTCTTTTTTCCATTATACTCTTTCCTGCTTTGTCAAAGATTAGTTGGCTGTATATTTTTGGGTCTAATTCTGAGTTCTCAATTCTATTCCATTGGTCTATGTGTCTGTTTTTGTGCCAATACCATACTGTCTTGATGATGAAAGCTTTGTAGTAGAGGCTAAAGTCTAGGATGGTGATGCCTCCCGTTTTGGTTTTCTTCTTCAACATTACTTTGGCTATTTGGGGTCTTTTATGGTTCCATACAAGTTTTAGGATAGTTTGTTCTAGTTTTGAGAAGAATGCTGGTGCAGTTTTGATTGGGATTGCATTGAATGTGTAGATAGCTTTGGGTAGTAATGACATTTTAACTATATTTATTCTTCTGATCCATGAGCATGGAATGTTTTTCCATTTCTTTGTGTCTTCTTCAATTTCCTACCACTTAACCTTACTCTTGAGGAAACTTCTCAAGTAGAGCTTTGACAAGTCTTCTGCCTAGGTCAATAACAGTATTACATTCATTATTCATATGCAGTCATTAGGAGCCAAACTAGGTGAACTCAAACACCAGCAATACCCTTTAGCCGAATGACCTTGGTCAAGTCATCTAATTTCCATGGGACTGTTTTGCCGTCTGTAGTAGGAAGATAATATCTCACAGCGCTTCCATGAGGATTGGGTGAGATAAATGTACGTGAAGTGCCTAGGATATAGTATGCACTAAATAAACAGTAATTATTATTATCCAAGCTCAGCTTAACCCATTTCTGTGACTAAAAGATGCTGACAAAGGATCTCTTGTGCATCCAGAAATTGCCATGATACTGTAAACAAATTTTCTAGTGCAGTGGCTCATTGCTTGGGATTTTATTAGTTAACACCTATTTTAAAAGGCAAATGATCTTATTAGGGTTACTGTTTACTGTAATAGTGGTGAACTGGTTTACCAGCTTTCTGGAAAAAAAATACCTTGATTTGTAACATTTGCTGTTTTCCTATCAAGTGTGAAATTTCTGAATGTTTAACAATCACCTCTGGCAAGCCCATGCCAGCCAGGTCCAGCACACCATTACAAATGCCTCCTCCTTGGGAAATAATTTGATGAAGGTGCTTCTCTATTACCATCTAGTTGAGAATAGCAGTTTGTGGAAATGAGAGAACTGTCAGAGGAAAAAAAGCTGGGAAAAGATTTTTTAAAATTTACTTTCAGGAAATCCTCAGGCAACCAGGGAGGTGGGCAGGTGCCCAAGACAGACTGCATATACTCCATGGTGACGTCTGTATTGGATCTGTGTCTCGCCCCAGCCCACAAGCAGATGTTTTAGTTCTCTGGCCAGCTTTATGATGATGGCAATGATGATGACAGCGATGGTTGTGATGGTGATGGGGATGTGACAGTGATCATGGTGATGAAGTTGATGCGATGTGTGCTTCAGCAGAAAGAGCACTAAATCAGTACTCTTGGTTTTGGGTTCTAATCTCAGGCCCCGGCGTTTACTAGCTGAGCGATCTTGAGCAGTTCACATATGGAAAATGAGGATAAGAATATTTTTCTTAAATAATTATGATTATAAGAAGAAAAGTCAGAGAATACATACAATGCTTTATATCCTGGAAAGTGCCATATCGATGCAAGTTACTAGCATTACCATCCAAAAGCAGTTAAAAGTCCTAACTTTATATAACCTGGGACTGTGCTATGAAAGGAGAGTCACAGCATGATTTCAGACTTGCATGTACATAGTAGGAAAGCTTTATGAATCCTGTATGTAAATAGACTGTAATAATGTTAGGGTCTTAGGAAAGGGTCTTAACAATGATCTAAATTCATCTCTCCAGAAGCCAAGGCCCAAAGAGGTGAAAAATATGTTATTCCTTTATCAACCATTCCACTGTGTTATGGGAGCTCTAGTATTTATCATGGAAGATACATACATAGATAACATGGATGGGCCTTGCCTACAAGGAGATTATAGTCTGGTACTTGGTAACAAAGCCAGGTTAAAGACTCAGGACATAAAGCCCTGACTAATGCTCACAGTTGAGCAGAATCATTAGTAAATTCACTTAATTTACTTCAGTTTTGTTTCTATTCCTATAAGGCCAATAGTAAACAAATACATTTCAATTTCTACAGATATTGCTTTTCACACAAGGGGATGGGGCTCAGCCAACATTTTCATATACAGAAACTTCACATTCATGTAAACTCTTAATTAAGTCAATGGTTTTAAAAATAGGTATGTACATAAAGTCAGGAATGTTATAGCTAATAATTCTTTTCTTTTGCTGTTCTTAAATGTACATACTCAGTAGCAATCACATACGTGTTTTGAGTGAATCCTGGGGAGATTAAATCGAGTTCTAGTTCCCTGGTGAGACCAGTCTTGTCCCATTCTCAAAGACAAGCTGCTCTACCTATTTGAGTGTTAGCTCCTTCATTTGAAAAACAGGGCTCATAATAAAATCTGTATAATATCACAGTAGGAATTAAGTGATGTATCCAAAGTGCTTAGTCTGATTTCTGTCATGTAATAGATACTAATTATTAGTAGTATCGCTACCGCTTGGCGGACACAAAGTGACCTGCCTAGAGTTGCATGGTTAGAAAGTAGTAGTCACCGTATTTAAAACCAGACGGGCTGCTTCCCACAGCCCATCGATCTCACTGGACCGCGATGCCCACTGAAATCATTCCAGTAACACCGATATTTTCCCCAGGAACCATTTGTACTGATTATGAGGACCCTCCCAATTCCCCAATAATTAATTCTATTCTGTGTTAAAATCATATTTGTCTATGCTCGCTTTGGTAGCACATATACCAAAATCATATTTGTCTGTCTTCTGTTGTTTTTCTCGCTATTCTTGGGCCTTGGCTCTTCAGCTCTGTCCTGTTTGAAGGGAGACAGAAATATTCTCTGTGCTTTTAGCTGCCACTACTTTATTTTGAACAAACCCTGCTTCTCAACACCCCCTAGCTCCAAGGGTCACCTGATGTTTATTTGCCCTCTCTTTTGCCCCCTTTCTCTCTGGATTCATGAGAAATGTCTACTCTCAAGGCTCTTAGGAGCTAGTTTCAGGTATTTTCATTACCTTCTAAAAAATCTTCATGACCCAGCTGACATTGCAGGAACAGTGGCAGTCATTAACACTGTTTTATTTTTCAGGAAAAAGAATTCATGTTTTTAACAGAACATCAAATCAGAATGATCCAGAAACATGGTTCAGTTTTATTATTGTTAGTAATAGCAAGGCACAGGCAGGGAATCAGTTTATTACAATGCATACTCCGAAATGTGACAAAGTGCTCTATTACTGTTACATAACCTTTGAGCCGCTTATCGTGTCCAGCCATCAAGTTACTGACGTTGCAGTTTGTGAAGCCTGGTAATGCCAAGACTCTGAACAACTAGATCTAAGGTCGCAAGAGCACGGCATGTACCTACTTTGCCACTGACACAGCTCCATTACATATACTTCCATAGCCATTTCACCCAGAGTCTTTTTGGTTGAGAAGACTTTCCTCTAACGAAGACAAACTTGTCCTCATTTGTTTGCATCTTTCTTTTTAGTTCTTTCCCATTCTTTTGTGATGCCTAATGGATTAAATTGATAAATTGTGACACTTGATAGTGTCATATACGATGGCAAAATACTTTCAAGTGATGACAGTGGTATCTCCTGTATTGCAGTGATACTTTACCTTTCTTTATGAACTTCAGCTATTTGGAGTTATGTAATAAACCATCAGCAAACTCTTACAAAATCTATACTACCATTTTCTAAGGTAGGAAAACAAATGTTTTCCTCCATTCATTTGGAAAAGCAACAATACAAGAGATACAAGAAATATTATGTGTGTATGTGTTCTTCCTTCCCTCTTCTTTTCTTTCTTCTTCCTTCTTCTTTCTTTCTCTTTCTGTGGTGAATCCCATTCAAGATCTACTGTGGCCTACTGTCTAACTTTGCCTAAAGCATTAGTCCATCCATCCATCCATCCATTAATTTATCATCCATCCAACCAGCCATTGATCATCTGTCTAACTAGCTAGCCAACTATCCATGTGTCTGTCCAGCCAACTCTAAGCACATCATTTGAGTGTCTACTCTGTGCTGAGTCCAGATCAGCTGTTTTATAAAATAATTTAAAATTTGGATTTGTCTGATTACTTCCTCCTGCCAGATTCAGGTAAAAAAAAAAATTGGTGATGGGGCAGGGTAGGAACACAGAATACAGAATTTTATAAATAAACAAATAAATAAAATCTCAGTGCATTAAATCTGGAGGCACTGTCACTTTGTCTCATTGTTGGGGATGTTCATCAGATTTCTTCCTTGACAAAATACAAATATCTCTTTATACTTAGTACATTGCTTGTGGGGGTGATACATTGAGACCATGTGAATATCCTGTTCCCTAACCATCCCTTACTCAGTGGTTGAATATCCATTGATGAGCCTCATCAGAGTGAATTATTATTATAGGGGTGGTTTTCTATTTCTGTTACTCTTTCTGTATTAGTTGTCATTCTTGTGTAAGTAAGAGCTCTTTCTTTTCTCTCCCTTCCTCCACCATATTCTTTAAAACACATTAAAATGGACTCTCATGCAGGACTACTAGGAAGCTCTACCTCAGTCATCACTGCGGCATCTTTGGCACCTCCTCATTTACCAGAGACTCACCAAGGTTCTAAGGGACTTCATAGTGGTGGGAGTCCATCCTGGTCACCACAGCAGTACCCACTATTCCAGCAGTGTGATCCATTTGGGTCTGCCCCTTTGACGTTTCCACAGATTCCTGGAACAAAAGCATCTCTGGCAAGTCTGGGAGCATCATGCCCCAAATCATGCTTCCGTGATGCCCCAGCATCTAACTTGTAAGAAACCTCAGGGAAACTGCCCTTCTCTGTGGTTATCTAGAAGTACCCACCTCTTTTTTCTTCTCTTATCTGCCTGATAATAAGAATAACTGGCTCAGTGTCTTGGTCTTTCACAAAAGACAGGAAGACCCTTTGAATTCAAAGCTATAGCTTTCCACACTCCAAGGAAATACTAAGGGTAGGGCTAGCAGAGTCTACAAAGGGTCTGAGAATGAGGAACTCAAAGATTTATATTGTCATACAGAGTTTTTTCGGGGAATGACCTGGAATTTTAGCTCTGAGTTGTAATGTAATTAGTAAAATGTGTTCTGAGTTCCAAACACCCAATTTACAAATGAATGCACCTATTTTGTAATGAGTAGAGCCAAGCAGTGATACCTGCAATTTATAATAGTTACTTCTTTTCTACAAAGGAATGTGAGTTGCTTCTTGATGCCTCATTTCAATTTGATTTCCACTCAACATTTGCAGGCTATTTGTCAAATCCTGTGAGAGGAATTTATTACTTTTTTAGAATTCAATTTTTGTTGTTCTTCTTCTAGAGCTTAATTTTTTAACTTGCTAATTTATCACACATTTTCTTCACATTCCTTCATGCAATTTGTGTTTGTATACAAACACATTTATTCATATAAATATGTATTCACTCATATACATATTCATGCATATTTATTTTAGTATTCTAAATAAGACCACTTGTTCTGATCACTATGTATATATCATCCATGCAGACTTCTTATCTTGGTAGCAACTTTTCACCTCATTAGCTCGTTGTGGCCTTTGAAATTTATTTGAAAATACAAAATGTCATCAATTATTTCATCATTCTAAGGTTCCTCTTCCCTTCCCTGCTCTCCGTGTTTGTACAGAAGACCAGGATTTCTCCTCCTAGATCCCAATCCTTCTTTCTGTGTGCATTTAGGATGAGCAAAGGACCAACTGAAGTGGATGACAGTGAAGATAAGTGTGAAAACACGATCACAATTGAGAATGGCATCCCCTGCGACCCTCTGGACACCAAGGGAGGGCACATTAACGATGCCTTCCTGACAGAAGATGAGCGGCTCACCCCTCTCTGAAGGGCTGCTATTTTGCTTCCCCAAGGAACCCAACACTGTGTCTGTGTAACTGCTGAGCATTATAAATGATCAAGGGCAAATTGTATATTTTGTTCCACCATTCTTCTTTTGTAAGAAATTTTCAGCGTGCATTAAGTAAAAGGCAATCAGTTATACCCATGAAGACCTTTGGAATCATAAGCTGTTGACTCCTCAGAATATTCCAAAATATTTCACTGACAACACAATGTGTAAGTGTAGTCATGTATCTTTAGTTATTGGTTTAAAAAAATGCATTCATGTTAAGCATTTCCAGAAATAAGGTCAGGCCACTACATATATATATTTTTTTTTCTTTTCACACTTTGAAGACATAAAGAGAAATATTTTTTCCAGTGGAGAATACCTATAATATGGTATAGAAATCTTTGAAAATGGATCCTTTTTGAATATTGTTTATTTCACTCTGTATATGACTAAGTAAGCAAGAATTAAAAATAATGATTATAACTGAGATGGATGAAAATAGGAGTGTCAAGACATGAAGTGAAATTTGATCCTGTTATCACATGAATACTTGTTTGTTGTCTGTCAGTCTCTAATAGGGTAGCGCTATTTGCTGACTATTTCTGCAATTTGTAAAAGTACATTCTATGTGAATTTAATAAAGTGCTAATCCTTTCTTTTTAATTATGCGACTGACTGTGGTCTGAGATTTATTTTCATGCTGTGGAAATTAGTAAACCTATTTTTTATTAGTTATGTGTAATCTATTCTACACCCCTAGAAATGAATTATATTTTGTTGTGTGTATCCTTGCTTTGAAGACAACTTACAGTTAGTACACTTCATTTCACTTCCAGATAGGCCATGATTCTTCTAAATTCTAATAATAAGTTATCACACATTTATGAATAGAACGAAAATTCACTGATCAGTCTCCTACTGCTATCATCCATAATTGATGTTACAGCAACAGTTTCTTTTTTTTTTTTTACAAATAGTTTATTGTCCAGTTGGTTTCCATATAACACCCAATGCTCATCCCCACAAGTGCCCCCCTCCGTGCCCATCTCCCCCCTCCCCCCCCCACATCCATCAGTCCTTAGTTTGTTCTCAGCATTCAAGAGTCTCATAGTTTGCCTTTCTCCCTTTCCCCCACCATTTCCCCCCTTCTTCTCCCCCATGGTCCTCCATTAAGTTCCTCCTAATCCTCCTATACGTGCAAACATATGATATTTGTCCTTCTCTGCCTGACTTATTTCTCTTAGCATAACACCCTCAAGGTTCATCCATGTTGCTACACATGGCCAGATGTCATTCTTTCTCATTGCCATGTAGTATTCCATTGTATAGATAAACCACATCGTCTTGATCCATTCGTCCATTGATGGACACTTAGGCTCTTTCCATGTTTTAGCTATTGTACAGCAACAGTTTCTAACTCCCTCCCCTACCCCAGTGTTGCTCCCTGGATACAGACTCCAAGATGGGTCATTGCAAGCAGAAGGTTTACTGGGGAATGCTCAGGAGATACACCTGTTAAGAAGTGAGGAAGACAGGTGTGGCAAATAGACTCTAAGATGTCTGCCATGTCCTAATGTTCTCGCCTTCATGTTACCCCTCTCCTTGAGTGAGGATGCGACTGGTGAGTTGCTTCTATTGCATGGAATACAGCAAAAATGAGATGTTATTCCTGCAATTACTTTATATCATGTCTGAGTCTGTCTTGCTAGCAGACATGTTTAGAGACTCTCCTTGCTGGCTTGACTATGTAAGTGGCCATGTTGGAAAAGCCTACATGAAAGAAACGGTGAGCCATGTCTAGGAATTGTTGGTGGCCTCTCAGCACTGAAGACAGCCTCTGACCAACAGTCAGCCAGAAGCTGAGGTCCTCAGTCCTTCAACCACAAGGAAGTGAATTCTGTCACAACTGGAGTGAGCTTGGAAGTGGATTTTTCCCCAGTCAAGTCTCCAGATGAGAATGCAGTCTGGTCAACAATTGGATTGCAGTCCGAGCAGAGGACCCAGTTAAAATGTGCCCAGACTCCTAACCCATGGACACTGTGAGGTGATAAATGTGTGTGTGTGTTTTTTAAGCCACTAAGTTTGCAGTAATGTGTTATGCAGCAATAGGAAATTAATAGAGTAGGATTAGGCAGAGGGAGAAGTGACCAGCAACATGGTTACAATAGAGGCTTCAGCCAATCCTTCAACAAGCTTAGGAGCTGAGGTTGTCCCTGGTTCAGATAAGGTGGCTGGGCTTTGTATCTCCACATTAGCCAGTCATGGCCATGGGTGCTCTCTGGGAGCGGGTCTGCTCTTGGGAAAGGCAGTTCCCTGTGGCTGGGGGCAATTCCCATCGAAGGGATCAGCTTTGAGCCTTCAAAAGCCAATGTTTCCAGAAGCCGAGGATGGGAATGTGAGCCGTGAAGAGAAGGCTTAATGAACCCACAGGATATCCACCACACCCTCTCCAGTCCGTTGGCTGTACTGTAGCTTGAATGAATACCCAAAATGCAAACCTGATACTGTCGGTTCCTGACAAAGATGCTTTTTTTTTTCTTTCATAGGTTATTGTCAAGTTGGTTTCCATATAACACCCAGTGCTCATCCCAACAAGTGCCTCCTCCATGCCCATCACCCCCCCTTCCCCTCTCTCCCACCCCCATCAGCCCTCAGTTTGTTCTCAGTGTTCAAGAGTCTCTCATGGTTTGCCTCCCTCCCTCTCCCCAACTATTTTTCCCCTTCTCCTTCCCCACGGTCCTCCGTTAAGTTTCTCCTGTTCCACTTATAAGGGAAAACATATGGTATCTGTCTTTCTCTTCCTGACTGATTTCACTCCGCATAATACCCTTGAGTTCCATCCACGTTGCTACAAATGGCCAGATGTCATTCTTTCTCATTGCCATGTAGTATTCCATTGTATAGATAAACCACATCTTCTTGACCCATTCATCCGTTGATGGACACTTAGTCTCTTTCCATGTTTTGGCTGTTGTTGAGAGTGCTGCTATGAACATTGGGGTCCATGTGCCCCTATGCATCAGCACTCCTGTATCCCTTGGGTAAACGCCTAGCAGTGCTATTGCTAGGTCATAGGGGAGTTCTACTGTGAATTTTTTGAGGAACCTCCACACTGTTTTCCAGAGGGGCTGCACCAGTTTACATTCCCACCAACAGTGTAGGAGGGTGTCCGTTTCTCCACATCCTCGCCAGCATCTAGAGTCCTCTGATTTGCTCATTTTAGCCACTCTGACTGGTGTGAGGTGTTATCTCGGTGTGGTTTTGATTTGTATTTCCCTGATGAGGAGGGACGCTGAGCATCATTTCATGTGTCCATTGGCCATCTGGATGTCCTCTTTGGAGAAGTGTCTGTTCATGGCATAAATGCTTTTAAATGGCTTTTTATTATCCTTAGGATAAAGCCAGACTCTTTATTTTTTATTTTTATTTATTTTTAAGTGTATTTATTTTTATTTAATTATTGAGAGAGAGATTGAGAGAGAGAGAGAGAGAGAAAGAGAGAAAATCCCAAGGAGGCTTCACCCTGTCAGCACAAAGCCCAATGCGGGACTCAAAGTCATGAACTGTGAGACCATGACCTGAGCCGAAGTCAGATGCTTACCTGACTGAGCCACCCAGGCGCCTCAAAACCAGACTCTTTAAACCAGGACCTGCTGTGGTTTGACCTCCACCTTCCTCTCATCTCTCACCCTGCTCCTCTTTGTCTCTCTAACTCTGCCATCCAGTCATAACAAACCTTTCACGTCCAGGCCTTCGAACAAGCTGTTCTCTCTACACTATTCCCTGTCTTTCAGCCGCTCTTCCAGCTTGTCCTTCAACAAGCTGTCACTCTTCAAGAGGTCACTTCAACGTCTTGCTCCTCCTGGAGGTATTTGCTGGACCTCCGAGCTATATATTCCTAGACTGTCCAGATGATTATATTCATCTTGTTGTTCTACAGTTTGTTAAATATGTTTTTACGGAGAAAGGAGATCATAAAGGCAAGAGCAGCCTAGAGCCCACAAAAGCCCTAATATAGCCTTGTCTCCATGAACATTTTCATAACGCACTTCACTTTTGTACCACTTCTAACCAGATAGAATTAACCGCTGCTTTGTAACCTTACCATGGCCATGTGTCTTTTTAATTAAAATTATTATTATATTTTACTTTATTTGTTTTTACATATCTGTATCTTCACACTAAGTGTAATGTTCTTGGAGGCAGTGTTCAAATCACTTAGCATAGTACCTTGTCTCTCTCTTTTCTTTCCTTCCTTTCTCCCTTCCTTCTTTCTTTCCTTTATTCTACAGTAGTGAGCAAAATCCAACACAATCCCTGTCCTCATGGAACTGAAAGTCTACATAGAGCTCAATCAGTGTGTGCGACTAAACAAGTAAATGAGATGGTGGCTCTGGCAAGCTCATCATCTCCTTTCTGAGAACAAAGGCCGCCCCTCTGTCTGTACATGGAGGAGTTTGCATTTGTGGCTTTGAGATTTTTGATTTGGACACCATTTTGACTCGGGAACCATATGCTCTTTAATATTATTAGGACTTCCTCATTTTTAGGAGAGGAATCAGATTTGGTCTCTCAGTTGACAATCTATGATTTACTAAAGAACCATTTTCTGTCTTCCATTTTCTTGAGCTGTATACTCCAGAATATGGTAGCTTTGCATATAGAGGTGGCGAAACATCATCAGGATTCAGTGTACACTAACAAGCATAATCTGAGACATGCATTCTCAAGATGGTGGAAATTGTTCTTAGTGGCAAGAAAAAAAAGTTTATATGTTACAGTGGTCCATAGTCCTCCAAAGGACCACTGCACATAAACAGATAAAAAGTATAAATATGGTATTAACATTTTCTGGATGGGGTTTCAGGAAAAGATGTCTAAAAAGTCTCAGTAATGGGGGAAAAAACAGGTCAAGAAACACCGATCCCAGATAGGCTTTTTATTTTGAAGGCATGGGATGAACCAGTTTGATCACTAGATAATTTTCTTCACTGTTTATTCTGATGCTGAGGGGATTTCTTCCACTTGCAAAGGTTTGCTCCACTAAATATCCTTGTTGGGGAAGTTTTCTATGCTAGCAGAAATGTGCTATAAACTTGACAGTCAGTATAACAGCAAAATGGGGTTTATGTGTTCTGCCTACTGCCTTTGACAAACACTCTGGGTAATTAGAGAGCAGTCAATCATCAACCTCACCTTTCACTTTTAATTTAATGATCCTGTAATGTGTCACAAGGGAGCACACTGTGAGGTGATATGTACTGGAAATAAAATGGTGTAAAGCAAGTGGAAATACAGCTGTCATCCACTCCAAGTCCTTAACAAAAACTGCGATGAAACTGGAAAGATAGAAGTGTCTGCAAACCAAGTCACTTTAAAAAAAAATGAGGTGAAATGGTGATACCTGGATTTGTTTCATAGAAGAAATGTAAATGCAGGTAACTTTTGTGGGTTTTGGGGGGGAGTGGTTTCACCTTCCATGTTTTCCACAAGGACTAACCAATACAAATATGACCTATTAAAGAATACAGTGAATTCTTGCACTTTGAATGATCCATGATCAGATTCTAGTTGTGAATATCACCAAGTGAAATTTGCACATTTATCAATCCCGGATAAGGAACAAAGAATGGAAGCGAACCCAGCTTGAGAACCAAAAAGAGTAAAA